GTGGCTGTAGTGATTTTCAGACACGTCCACACGGCCTTCGAGGTCTGGACGACCGTGTGGACGACAGGGTGGAGGTAGGAAGGTACCCACACTGTGGGCGTCCCTGAAGGTGTACCAGGGCTCTGTTCCCAGTGAAGCCTGTTACAGCCGGGGCCTTCTGATGCGTCCTACTTCTAACTTGAGGCCTCAGATCTCTCCATAATGCCCCTTCCTCCAGGAAGCACTCCTTGACCCACCAAGACGGGCTCAGTGCCCACCTATGCAGCTCCACAGGGCGGGGACAGACCCCGCAGCCAACACTGTGCCACTGAACTGTAACCACCTGTTTGCCATCTCGCTGCACCGGCCTGTGAGCTCCTGGAGGGCGGGGCACTGTCGCATCCACCTTTTAAGCCCCCACTCCAGCAAAATCGCTCCCCCAGCACAAAAGTGTGAGTGTGAGCATTCGACACCTGGGCTAGGACCAGCACAGACCCCCCCCGGCAGGTGGGCCCATGGGCTCTCGCTCAAATACAGACGACATTCAGCACTTCCAAGACCTCTGACACCAACGCAGGGAGGGCAGGGTAATTCCGTCAAACCCAAACAAGATGAGGGTGCCTCTTATTTCCTAACTCATCAGCACCAAGTGTGTTCTAAGAGGCTTCACTGATCTTATTAATTTTGCTTATTACCGCCACCCAGCACTCAGAGCTGCCACGGCCTGCAAGCCACACAGAGCTGGGGGCGGCAGGGCCGACAGTGAGGATGAGGCCACCACCATCAGGGTCACTGTCCCCCGAGGGCTGGGCTCAGTCCCGAGCATGCACTACCTCTGTCCATCTTCTCAACAACATCCGAGGCTGTGACTGTTATCCCCACTGTGGATGCGAAGCCAAGGTCAGAGAGAACTGACCCCATGTCACACAGCCACTCGGTGGACACCCAGGATTCGAACCTGCCCTGACTTCTAAGGCTCCGGGAAGCTTACCTGCTGTGCGCACCCACCTCATGGCTCCTACGCCAAGGAGCTGGCGTTCCAACCTGGCGAGTCAGTGTATACACGTAATAGGTTTTTAAATAAGAGTTTAAATCTAACATATCTGAACAAAGAAGACGGAGGGCTGGAGGTTCAGAGCCCGGCAGTCATCCCTCAGAAAGGTTTCAGAGGCTGAAGAATTGAGAGGCCTCGAGGGGAACCCAGGCCCCAGGTCAGCATGGAGCAGAACCTGGGAGGACAGCTGGTGGGGAGGGAAGGTCCCTTTCTCGTGTACGGAAATGCCGGGGGCTGGGAAACGCACCCGGCCTCTCCCTGTCACGGGAGCTTAAACTGAAATTACCTCCTTAGATTTCCGATGCCAGTCCCTGCTCTCCCCCGGGCCTCTGTCCTGGACCTCCTCCTCGCCAAGGCCCCCGCGGCCGGCACAGGCGACGGTGCGCCAGTCCCTGGGCGAGCTGGAGACGCTGGCGATTTTGGACTCCGTGGCGCTGTTTTCGGTCAGCGACCTGGAGGATGGCCTGGTGAAGAGGCTGCTCTTTAAGGCCTTGACTCGCAGGCTTTCGCCATGGCTCCCGCTGGCCTCAGAGCAGCACCAGTCCGCGCCGTTCTCCAGTTTGGGCCCGTGGGAGCCGCTGTGTGCGGGGAACGTGCGAGGAGAGGCGCTGTCATCAGATGGAGCCTCACTGGTCAAGGAATTCAGGTCCGTCTGCACACTCACCTTCTCAGGCTGCTGCATTTTCTGGTCCAGTTTATTTAGTTTGCCCAAGACCTGGGAGATTTCCTCGCGGACGCCAGACAGCGATTCAAGCTTCCGTTCAATTTCGCCGATCCTGAGCACCAGCTTGCAGACACTGGTTTTCAACTCCTCTTCCGAGGGGTGGCTGTTTTCAGGCCGGTTGCCCTTTCCGCCTTTGCCGCCGGCGGCGATTTTGGTTATGTTGCGCTCCGGTGAACTGTCGCAGTCCGACCTGTGGAGCTGAGACAGGGACCCTGTGCTGTTGTAGCAGGATGAGTGGATCACGCCCGTGGAGCCGCTGACGCTCATGTCGTCAAGGAACCGGAAAATGTCGCTGATGTCGTCGCTCACGACCTCCGAGTCGTCGTCCGACTGCTTTGTGGGGTGCCTGTCCCCGTACTTGCCCTGCACCGAGGCACACGGGTCTCTGCATTTCTTGGGCTCCAGCACATGCTGCTCGGTCTGGGTGCCCACGCTGCTGGTGTCCGAGCTGAGCTGCCCGCTGGTGCAGCAGATGCTCTTGTCTTTTAACTTGACCGGTTCCTGCTTCTCCAGGTCAACGGGGGACGAGATCTCCTTAGATTTGAGCCCATTGGGTTTCGCCGCGTAGCCAGCGGGGAGCATTGGCTGCTGCTCCTTTGGCGGGAGGTAAGCCGGGCGCTGGTCCCGGGCTGGGAAGCTGGGAGTCTGGCTGCTGGGATTGGGGTAGTGCAGCTTCTCCTTGGAAGGGTTTCTACTGAAAAAGGACCGTTCGAAGTCAGGGACTTCTTCTGTGTTTAGGCTCCAGCTCTTGGCTGGCCAGGGGGTCTGCTTGCCTGGCCTCCCGGGACAGCGCCTGGCTTCCGGGGTCCCCATCATGGGAGTGGGCCCAAAGTACGTGGAGGCCTGAAGGTCGTCCAGGCTTTCATGCTTTGCCCGCCTTTTGTCAGGAACAGGGGAATACACGGGGTTCAGGTACTGGCTGTTGTAGGGCATCTCAAAGCTGTGGTTAAAGAAGGGTGTCTTGTGGGGCTCCTTCCGACTCTGGGGCTCCCCATGCTCTCCATCGGCCTTGTTAGCAGGGGCAACCAAACTGGGGGACACGGTCACCAGATTGTGAAAATCCTCTTTGAAGATGTTCCTTTTCTGGACGCAGGACTGGACCACAAAGTGCTCATCGTTGGCCACGAATGTCTCCTTGAGGCCCTGGGGGATGGTCAGCGAGTCCTGGTCTGAGACAGACTCGTTCTCAATGGTCATGGGGAAGTAGGTCCTCTGCATCTCGCAGGGCTGAGGGCTGGCGACCGAGTACGGGCCCAGTGCCTGCAGCCTGTCCAGGGAGGCGGCGCGGGCTTTTGCCTCCTTGCTGACACCCAGCAAGAAGTTGGGCTCCGAGGCAGGTACGAACTGGGGGCAGTCCCTGCAGTCCAGCTTCCGGCACTTGGATGGCTGCCGGGCAGGGTAGTTCTGGCCAAAAGGCCTTCCGGCCAGCTCACAGTTCAGGGGCTCGCACTCGGCCGCGCTGCAGACCTCCGTGTCCGACCTGCAGGACTCGAAGGACGCCTCCTTTTTGTGTGCCTTCTGCCGGCCTGCGGGCAGCTTCTCCCTGGCGACGCCCCCACTCATCTGGATCAGGTTGAATATCGTCACGATATCTGCCGCCACCATGATTTTCTTGGACTGCTGGCTGTTCACAGAGCGTTTCATCTTGTCTTTGAATAGTGTGGCTGGGAAACTGGGATCGAGGCAGGCCGTGTAGAAGAGCACGCTCCTCAGTTTGGCGAGCTGCGGCAGGTCAAAGCGGGCACACAGGGATCTGCACAGGTCCTGGTAGGAGACGCTGTTCTGCTTGCTGTCCAGCTCCTCCAGGATCTTCACCAGGACGAGGGCGGTGTCCTGACCGGCCTCCATGGTTTAGGATTTCCAAGGCTCACCCGTTACACAGAAACTGCCAGTCAACTCTACAGCGACAGCATTGAAAAGGAGAGGAGGGGAAGAGGGTTAGACACACAGGCTTGCTGTGAACCACATAAAGAAATGCCAGGAAAAACTGTCTAATGATTAAAAATGTATTAAGAGCTTTAAAAAATATTTATAACACATGACCTTCTAATTCCCTTCCCAGGAACCTACCTTAAAGAAATGATCAATAATGAGGAAATGTTATTTATTAGTATATTATCTCCTGTATAATACTTAGCTCCAAAAGGATTACTTTGTTTATCCAGACGTCTCCAGAAATAGTTTCCTGATGCGGAGGCATTGCTCAGGTTCCACTGGAGAGAGGTAAGAGCTCCATTCACTTGCCCTCTCTCCACCTAAAAATCATGCCTGGCTCAGCCTGCCACCTCCTGACCTTTGACCTCCCAGGAAGAGCTGAGGCCCTGGACCCCATGGCAACCACACGGCACCCTGGGCCCTGATCCCCATGCATCCCTGTCTCGGCAACCGGGGGCCTTCCTGCACAGCCCTGCTCTCTCGATAGGCTCTGAACCAAAGCCGGCACCCTCCCAAGGTTCAGTCAGGATAGGCCCTGTTGTACCCACAACTGCAAACCCACTTTTGCCCAGCCCTGTATGTCCTTTCAGGCACAGAGAGGCAATGTGCCCTGCCGTACAGAGAAGCCTTGCCGGGATTTGCAAACGGTGTCCAGAGGAGCCATTAGGGGTACATGCAGAAATGCTAGCAGCTTAACCAAGATCGTGGAATGAGGTAGAAGCACGCCTGAGGCTGGCCGCCAGCTGCCTCGGCCTGTCTCTGAACTCCATGCCCCTCTGCCTTCTTTCACTGGCACCAAGCCTGCAGGTAAGCTCCAAACACTAAGATCCACGTCGGAGGGACGAGAGAGTCAGTGGGCTCTAGCAACATAGTCCAGAGAAATGTGGAGCCTTCTCCTAGCCTGTCTGAGAAAACACATCACCACGTGGCTGGGGCAGAGGACAGGCCTTCCCCTGCCTTCTCCTGGAGGTCACGTCCCCGCCCAGCAGAAACAGACCCATAGCTACAACCCTGGTTTCTGCTTCACATTGGTCAAGATTCAAGAAAGAGCTTATTTTGGGGAATCCTGAGGGGAACCCTCCCCACCCCAGACCAGTCCTGTGTGCTGTGGATAGAGGCAGGCAGACGTCTCAGCCTCACGGGGGAAATACAGATGTTTCAGAGGCAGGATCAAAGAGTGAATGAGTACAAAGGCTTTTAGGAGCCGGAAGTCACATCAATTTTGCATCTATCACTGGCCAGGAAAAAAAGGCATTATATATGTAAAATCCCAACAGGACTCCCACCGACAAAGAAACCTTTGTCTGTCTTCCAAGTAGTAAGTGGCACCGAACACTCCCCCACCAAACTCATCAGAAATGCAAATAAACGGACATATTTGTTCTCTGGAAACTGACATTTATGATCACAAGGTCCAGATCTAAACAAATGTCTCTGACGCACAGCAAAAATCAGACTTTATTTGTCAGACATTTAGGGCTTTCCCTCCAGGCTCCAGGAACCTATGGAAATCTCTAAATCTGCCTTTCTTTGGACTCCCCTCCTCCTGCTCCACCTGCCTCGGATACACGGGAAGAAAGCCCAGGAAAGGGTGTCTGCCACCATCCCCACAAGCACCAGGCAGCCTTCCCTCCCTGACCCCTTCTCTAATGTCAACAGAGCCCAAGACACTGCTGCCAGGCTCTCAATGAGCCGGTGGCCCGGAGCTCATTGTAAAGGACACCCTGTGACCACAGCTGTCTGCTGGCTTCCACCTGCAGGGCCAGCTCCATTGATGCTGAGGGTCACAGACGGGGGAAAGAGGGGCATCTCCCCACCTCTCCATCCGGGAGAGGGGTATCGGCAGCAGCTTGTTTGCTGGGGAAAGGGGTGCAAAGCTGGCCGCATCCGCTCTCCCAGACTCCCCCTGGCAGGTCTCCGTGTCCCACATACAACCGCAGCTGAGCCCAGCGGCGAAGCTCCCAGCCAGGGCCCTGGCAGCGTGGCCCCTGCCGCCTCCCAGGGGCAATGCCTGTCCTGGAGAGACAGGGTCTGCAGCCTTCGCTCGGCGCTGCTGAGCCCGCCCAGAGAGTGCCTGAGCCCGCAACCACCTTCCCAGGGGGGCTCCCAGCGTGACGCCTGCTAACGCTTCCAGCAGGAGGCTGGACCGAGCAATGCCACAGCCAAGCTCCCCAGAGGCCACCAGAAGCCCCAGCCTCCCGGAGAGGGCGAGTGATGGCTCTGGAGGGTGCGGGGCCGGTGCCCGCAGGCAGGAGGGACCG